GAACAATCACATGGCCAGATTCTGTTTCATATTTAGTCTACCCAGAAAAATACAAACAGATTGGGAGGAGACTTGATCATCCACAGTGCTTCTTGTCAAGCTCTCTCTCTCTTTGCGCACTCCGCCTATCAGCGGCGGATGAGCCACTGCCACCGCGCCCTTGAGTTGCCTGGCATACTCTTTAGACAATTTTGGTGGATTCCCTGGTTCCCTCACCAATTCCAAAAGGGGTACCTTCCAAAAATGAGACACCCTGGTCCAATTTTAGAGTAAGAGTCCGTCGCTTTGGAGGCAACAGTGGACTAATCCAGTGCCGACCTTACCCGAAAGGGGCTGATGGTTAAACTCATCCTCATCCGGAGTGGCTCATGGTAACTTTCCCCGCTCCCATCGCTTGTTACTTGCCTCCAACCCAAGCTGGGTTATTGGAGTTGGGGGGAGCTCTGATCCCCTAGTACGCAAGAAGCAACACCATTTCAACTTGGTGTGCGGATTTAGTTTTTGAACAACTCTGTCAATTGCGGAGTGAACGTAGATTGAGTACCCCGGTTCACTTGGGTGTCGTAACTCATGCCTTGCCGAACTGACTTCGCACAGTCAAGCACCGCTGTAATTGCAGGCACAATGTCCAACTCCCCCATGTTAGTTTAGTCATCATAGACATCCATAGGTGGCCTTTTGGAAAAATAGATGGCCGAATCAACCCCATCTAAACCAGGGCCCTCTATTGTTTAAGCAAACCAACCAAAAAGGATGTAGTCCTCCCCTTTACTCACCCCGTTCCGTTGAAGACCAGTGAGGATGGCTCCAAAGGCTCCCCTATGGATCTAAATCATGTCGCTTCTTTGAGGGCACCCCCTCTTTTTTTGCTGTTTTGAGGGGGAACCAACAGGAAAACCACAATTTTAATGGGTCCAACCTAAAAACAAGGACACGCCAATGAAAAGACACTCCCATGACCTTCACCGTGGAAGTTCAGTTTCTCGGGGCGCGAGCAAGCGCCTGAAGCAGGCGGACCACTTGGCCGCATCCTGGCGGAGGTGCTCGATGGCGAAGCGCCTTCGAGAAAAAAAAAAGGCGCCCTCCTCTCTGGCCGCAAAAAAAATCGGGGCCTCAGAACTGCAGGCAAGGGATCCGCTCGAGTCGAGCAAGCTTTGAGCTACTCTGGACCCAGTTCTTGGGCGCTGTGGACCCAGTTCTTGGGTGGTGAAAAGGAAATATGAGGGGAACCCAAAAAGATAAAGCCTAAAGATCCAACCCACTAGCAGAGGCATGACTCTCTCCCTGTGCATGTGTATGTCAATGTGTATGTCAATGTGAATGTGTATGTGTGTGTGTGTGTCGGGGGATGGGAATCCATTCAAGTAGGCAAGAAGGCAAGCAGGCAAGCAGGCAAGCAGGCAAGCAGGCAGGCAGGTAGGCAATTTAATATGTGTGGATGAATGCATGCATGTACCTACGCACGTGCGTACCCGTGTGTGAATGTACGTAAATATACAATACTATATTATATTTCTGTCTGTGTCTGTCTGTCTGTCCGTCCGTCTGTCCTTCCGTCCGTCCGTCTGTCCGTCGTGCATCCGTCCGTCCCTCCGTCCGCTCGTCCGTCCGCCTGTCTGTCTGTTTGGCTGTATGTATCTACGCATGTCTGTATGTGTCTGTATGGATGTCTGTATGTGTATTTGGGTCTGTGTGCGTGTCTGTGTCTGTGTGTGTGTGTATCTGCGTGCCTGTGTGTGTGTGTGTGTCTGCGTGTGGTGTATCTGTGCGTCTGTGTATCTGTGCGTCTGTATGTCTGTATGCCTGTCTGTCAGTCTGTCTCTGTCTGTCAGCCCGTCAGCCTGAAAGCCTGTCAGTCTGTCAGTCTGTCTGTATTTGTGCAAGTGATTGCGCGTATACACATATCTAGTCAATACGCATGGATAGTAGACTTGTCTGTATATGCAGCACAATGTCGATTTGAAGAGGCACTGGGGCAGTTGGGCATCATCATCATTATGGATACAGTCTCTGCTTGCCTTGTGCCAGTCACAAGTGAAAGGGGAAGTGTGGCCCCTCCGCGCGAGTCTGGGCATGTCCCCCTTTTACGAATCCATGGATTCTGGAAGGAGTATGACTAGCAAGAAAAAGGGCCGTCCGTCCACGGAAACCTCATTGGTTTCCGTCCGGACGCGAAAAGGGATGACTGACCTTGGGTCGTACCGGAGAGTTGCTGCGGCCAACCCGCGCGAGTGTTTTTCTAGGGGTACCTTCCCCTTTCTTTCCAGGGATCCTTCTTTTCAGAAAACCATCAAAACCCCAGGGTTAACAGCCAGTTTTTGCAAAGAACGATGATTGAAAAGAATGGGGAATCAACCCCTACAGTTTTCTTTTCAGCTTTGGGAGCTGATCTCAGCTAAAGCCAAAAGCTGCAGACCGCAGCGCAGAAAGAAGCCCAACGGCTTTGGATCTGTGATACAGAGCACCTCTGCCGCTCTCGCAGCGCAGGGGCGTGAATTGCTTACACAAAGACGGGGGCAGGCTTTTCGCTCAAGTACTCCACCAGTGCTTCCAGCACCCGTGGGTCGGAGAGAATGCCAAAGTGTGAGCAGTTGGCAAAGACGCGGGTGGTGGTGCTGCTCGGCCAGACTTTCTCGACCTGGCTCAGTGACACCAGGTTCACCAGACCATCTCCTTCCCCGCGAATGGTCTTGCTGGGTGCCTGGTTAAATCCTTCGGAGAGGTCCGTGTCGTAGACAAGGCCCTCGATCGTTGGGACCCCGGTGGAATACCAGCTCTCCATGTGCATGCCACTTGGGGGGGATTGAATCTCAGCAAGGGAAGGCTGCAGCTTGGAGAACAGAGACCCCGTCTGGCGGCCCCACCCTTCACCGCCAATCAGCTTCACCATGTCTGGCATATCCGCGGCAGTGTAGTTCCGCGATGGGGTCACCACCAGGGTTCGATTGCCAAAGCCCTTTGGGTGCGGAGTCATCCACACCCCACCTCAGACGCAAAAGGAAAGTGCAAGAAAAAACGGTGGCGTCCTGTAAGTGCACCCTGCGTTTGGACGTTGCTGCAGGATGAAAACCAGATGCACAAATACTTCTTTACAGTTCAAGCTGCGCAAAAACAAAAAAGACACACGCCACACGCCCGGGTGGGGGGAAACTCCGTCTTGGGCTGGTCGAAGGGAAACGCTGGCAAACTCAACACTTGTGGACATTTCCAGGTGCGCCCTATGGACCAAGTCGTTGTTGGCAGCTCGCAACTTGCTTCCCTTGGAAGCAGGATGAAGGGTAAATGGTAGGGCTGCCCTTGTTGTTTGCTGAACCTGTCACGCATGGGTGGGTAGGTTTCATTCTCAAACCGCTGCAAGAAAAGCGACCTCCAAGCATGGCACCATTTCACTTCGGGGCTTCCCTTGTGCCCTGTTTGCTCTTCTGGCGTCAACCCACAACCTTGGGAGCCCCTTTTGCCTGCCTCTCAATCGCGAATCAAAAGGATGCCGGCCGACTACAGGGTGCCCTGCATTGACAATACCAACTGGGATTGTCTGTGAACCAGGGACCCTCAAAGAGGTTGTCCTGGCTTCCCCTCCAACCCAAGAACAAGATGAACATCGGGGGGAACAAAAACAGACACAAAGGATGCCTGAAAGAAACGAACACAAACACGGCTGTGGCTCAATAACCTGTACTCAAATGGCACCTCGGTAAATGGAACCAAAGACAAAAACCTGCGGTTTGCCCTAGCTAATTCATCTTGAGCCACACCCCCAGATCCGTTTCCGGAAACAACACCTCTCCGCTTTGTCTTTCTAGGCGCTAGAGGCGTTGACTTGGACCGGTCTCACATAATCATGGGGCACCAGCCAGCTGGGCAAGCCCAAAGTCCAGCCCCCCAGGTAGGCCATGACCTGACTGGCGCCTCAGGATTTTGGAGTCATCAAAACCCTGAAAGGGAACACTGGCAGCCCTTGGTGCCAAACAAAGGGTTGGGAAAAATGCAAACTACCTGTTCACTCCCCCTACTTTCAACTTAACGATTACGCGCTAGTTCGGGCCCAAATGGTCGAAACAATCTTCAAAGGGGACACTGGCACCCCTGTATTCATCAACCACGGGTTTCTTGATCCTGATTCCTATCAGTGAAAGTATGGTACACCCTCGAATTTTGTTGCGTGCGTTGTTTCAGCGGGAAATAATTTATTCGCATCTGAGTCACAATGGGTCTAGTAGAGAATGCAAAGGGCGGCCGTACCTATTTCCTGAGCCACCTGGAACATGGCGGCCTTTGTACGTCAACCGTCAACCCATTTCATATACTGATTCGGAGCCATAGCAATGGCCTAAGAAGCGACTACCTGGAAATTACTAGGGGCCATTGAGGATCATTGTGGGACATAACCTTCCCATATGGCTCTGATTCAACGTTGGACCATTTGAGCTTCCCGTTGCAAGAGGCCCAACTCAATCGAGAAGTATTGTGCGAGTCGTTGAGCATCAACTTGTTTGGGTGTGCGTTTCTAGTGCGGAAACCACTACCCTTGAATGCGTTGTGCCTGGATTAAATATACCAATTCACCCATATACCTAGAGTGAGAAATGGATTCAAGAAACCGAGCAGCCGTCCAACAGACCAACCGACCAACCCAACAACTGACCAACCGACCAACCGACCATCCGGCCAACGGACCAACCCACTAACCTCCAACCGACCAACCGACCAACCGACCAACCGACCAACTGACCAACTGACCAACTGATCAACCAACCCACCAACCCACCAACCCACCAACCCACCAACCCACCAACCCACCAACCCACCAACCCACCAACCCACCAACCCGCCAACCCACCAACCCACCAACCAACCCACCAACCAACCAAGCAAGCCGGAGTCATTGTTTCCGTTAGGGTCCGAAGGCGACTGGTTGAACTTTTGCCACTCCTGCCTCCTGTCCAGGGTCCCGAAAGGGCCAGCCATCCGTGGATGTGCCTCGCACGCCAGGCCTCGGACACGTAGAGGTGGAAGAAGTGCAGCATGGTCGGGCAGCCTCAAGTAGCGACTTGGTCGTGGAAAAGCACCGTGATATCTCTGTATTTCCATGACTACTTCATCACTTTGACGGAAACCATTGGTGTCACGGAAAGTGGGCCTAAACCCCTGTATAAGTCCTACAACGAACCAGGGCTGGCACCAAGGAAAAAACAAACTGATTCATTTGCTTCTGGTTGTTCATTTGGCCCCTTGAGAGTGAATTGCTTTGCAAACACATGGAATGCCGGACCCACAGAGTGAGATCAACTGGGAGAAGGCTAAAGTCGAATCGCTTTGGGCGAGTAATTTTAGGCCAAGCCTTACGCCCACCTAAGCATGGCATTCTGAAGCGCAACTTGCTTTCGCTGGTGGCCCTTGCGGCCCTTTCGGCCTTTCCAGACCCCGAGACGTCAGGTAGCATCCGACGGATCCGACGCGAATGGCTTGCTCGAACTTCACCCGTGCGAACATCTCATTGCACGCAGAACAAACAAAACAGAGCACTCCTGCAGTTGGAATGCAGCCGAGCAGTTGCAGGCAATGCTCAAGAAAGGATCAATCCCCAGGGTTCTCCGAGAGACTTCATCAGAACTTGCCGCATGTCGGCTCCAACAATCATCACAGCTCGAGCTGTGCGTCGTGTGTGTGTGTGTGTGTGGAACGGGGTGGGGTGGGGCAACATGATAACGCTCATTGGCAGGAACAAGCAGCTAGCCAAGTTTCCGTGTGTGTGTTTTGGCCTGTTATTTACAGTATGTTTAACACATGAGACACGAAGAGGCCTCACACAACCTCAGTGACTGCGCACGGACGTACGCTGCGGAAGTCCGCGTCAATCTGCATGAACGAAAGAGGCCGGGATCAGTTGCAATGGGCAACATGCACTGGCGGCATTGAAAATGCAGCCGCCAGAAATGCATGCGAGTTGTTTCGCCCGGTCAGGTGTTCATTCAGCCGCTCTGGAAAGTATAAAGACTGTTGACGCAGCGAAAACAGAGCAAATTCGCAGGTTTTGGGCGGTGCTCTTGGTGTGAGACCTATGCTGAATCCTCGTGCTCCAGTAGGGCTGGACGCTCTCAGTCACTGAGCTGGTATGAGGTGTCTTAGTGGCTCATGTGCTGAAAATACTGTACAGGTCAAACCACACACGGACACTTGGCGAGTGGTTTGTTGACACTCATTCGGAGAAACCTGCTTCGACCTCAAAGGAAAGCCTTTCTGGGACCACGGTTGATTTGTGTTGCTTCCGGTGGCTTACATAGCCTTACGCGCAAGTTTTTCGAGCCTTTGCTGAAGAAGAGTCCGAGTGAGCGAACTTACTGTTGCGCAGGATAGCTCGTTTTGTCCACACCTTCAACAGGGTTCGGTCAAGCGAAAACTCTGGGGGTCTCAAAAGTACGTTCGGGGGAGAGGGGTTCACCTTTACCACCGTTCAAAGGATGATTCGGAGAGTCTCACTCAAACGGACCCAGTACACGGGACATTGGTGCGGTCAGTGGTGCTCACTCTCCCAAGACGCGCTGAAGCAAATCAGAAGGCTATCCGCCTTGTGATCTCAGAAAGAACCGAATACGAAGGAGCACACCTCACAATACCCTGCTGCCTCTTGCCGCCGAAGGGCCAAGCGAGTGTGAGAGGACGACTGCTGGCTGTCCGCTGGCCTGGCGTGCCAAGCTTCGTATCCCCACCCCCCCAAAGACATGTCGACAGGTCAAGTTAAGCTTTGCACCCTTTCCAAACCACTCCCAAAACAAAACAGTGCTCATTTAGGTGTGTCTTGTTTTAGGGGACCCCCCCAAATTGGCGGTTTTTCCTTTAAAACTACCGCCGGAAAAAAAAGAGGAAAAAACTACAAAAAACATATTTCCAGCAGTGATAGATTCCCTTTACAACCAACAGGACTTAAAAACGCGTCACCCCCATTTGAGTCATAATCAAAACCCGGTACTAGAATGGTTCAAGAGTTCAGAAGGCGGATATCCACAGCTATTTATGGCAAGGGGATTGTTCCTTACAAAGCGTCATCTGCTCGAATCGAGCCACTTTTTGACCACGTGGCTCATTTGGCTGTGGGTCAAAAATAGGTACCCCAAATGGAACCCTGTTTAAGTGGCACCATGGACCAAAACCTGCGGATATCCTGGTTTGATTTTGACCCATACCCATGACCTCGCCTCCACGATCTCCTCAATGAGCTGCTGCAGCTGCTGGTAGTACCCCCCCACCCCGTTCTTCCGCTGCGCGTGGGCATCTCCCGCCAGGCGCCAGTCGTAGGGAGCCAGGAACACGTCCTTCCCCAGCGCGTACCTCGGCCGAACCGAGCCGAAAAGGACGCGCTGGCACAGGAAACAAAAGTGTTTTAAGGGGGGTGGAATATGCGCGGCGTCTTGTGGTGCGCGGTTTCCATGAAGATGAGGGAGCTGGCAATGACAATCAACGTATGTATATGTACACACACATATATATATATATGCGCAATCAACCTCTATATATAATATATATATATATATATTATATTATTTATATGTGTGTGAGCGACCCTCTGGCAAGTGCGGCGCTGCAGATCTTCCACCATGCCCTCTGATTGAGGCTTCCGTCAGTTTTGGAGCTACCGCACCCGCAGCCTTCTTTCTGAGCTCAGCACAAGGTCAGCCCCAGAGTTCGCAATGGATGATCACAACAGCTGTTCATGAACACCCAAATGCTCTCAAATGGGAGTCGATTTTGAGGAAACCCCTTTTTTGATGATTCCAAAGGCAAAACAAAAGGAAAACACAGCACTTTGGGAATCCCCTCCACAACCAAATCGACCCGGCACAGCCAAACCCATCACAGGTGTAGGGCCTTGGAGGTTCGGTTTGGATTTCCGCCGAAGCCACCCGCGAGACTCAAGCTTCTTGAGCATGGGCCCAAACTCGTAGCTGTAGAGCAGATCCTGCGTGGGCAGAGCTATCTCGGGGTACCTTTCAACCATTCTGTCCAGAAATCCTTCTTTTCAGGAAACCATCAAAAGACCAGGGGAAACAGCCGGTTTTTGAAAAGAACGATGGTTGAAAAGAATGGAGAATCAACCCCTAGGAGCCAGGGTTCTCTTGGATTGTTTCCAAAGCAAATGGCCATCCGGTCTGGACAGTCGGCTATGCTCAAATTCACCGGTGTCAACAGGCATCATGGCAATCGCGGTGAAATTCGAAGTACGGGGTTTGGAGGGTTGGAGATATGTCTATGCCAGACCTTCGGATTCTTTTTCCGTTCAGATGGTAACCCCAGAAGCCCGCATAAAGGGGTCCCGCGCCGATTCGACCCCGGGGGATCGATCGGCCTGCAGCTTTTATACAACGCACACGCACATTGGGCTCAAAGGACAGCGAACCACAAAGACACATACTACAGAAGCACGAAACTACCAGCGCACACACACACACACACACTAGCCGCTCGGAGAGTTTCTGGTAGCCATGCCACTTACTGTGCAAGTCTTGTTCTTCTTCTTATCGGTCTACATAGCTTGTCATGTCAGAAGAAACAGTCTCATCTCCCGCTTGCATGAAGGAAGGCCCTTTGAATCCCTGCCAGTGTCCAGACCATGCGCGCTGTTGACGCTGTTGACATAGCTCTCGTTGACGTAGCTGCTGTTCACAGTGGTCAAACCACTTGCACCAGTGCCGTTTGCCCAGCCCAGCGCGCGCAGCTCCACGTTTGCGAGGTTCCTGAGCTCGCAAAGCTGAACTTGAGCTACTGGCAGGGCACCCAGCAACTCCGCTCCCTGACTCAGTAGAAGGGCTTGTCTCTCCCTGTTTCAAGCTTCGCTGGCAGTGGCTTTTGTTCCTCCCACAACTCACTTGCCCAAAGGACCTGCACATAGAAGCTTTTGTTGGAACAGAAATTGACCAGGATGGGAAACACCGATGGGACAACCGCGACGAGCGGCGAATAGGTGTCGCTGGCGGCATCATAGGTCAAGGTCAGCCGGGCGATGAGGCAGTCGACCTCCCCAGGAAGAGCCTGCACCTCAGGGCCACGGCATCGATTCAAAAGGAGCACTGCTCATTGACTTTTGGTACCAGCATGACAATTAGGGTTTACATGTAGGTTCGACTAGAACCCCTCAACCCACTCTAAGGGTTTACATGCAGGCCCTACTAGAATCCCTCATGAAACCAGGTAGAACCACCAGAGTAGCCCAAGAGGAATCGTTTTTGGGCTGCTCGCATCAGACAAGGGTGGTAAGTACATCTTTGGACGTGCCTACTATGTTCCTTGTCAAGTGGGGTAGTATCCGACAGCATACTGAAATTGGGATGCACAAGCGGCTTTGCAACAGGATGTGACTGGGGCATGTCACTCTGCACGTTATCCCTCCCTTGATTGAAATCGCGAAAGTGACAGTCTCCTGCCACTCTTGCCATTTTCTGGTCGATCCCTTCTTTAGGTGAATCGAACATGCTTCAGCCCAACATCTGCATGTTCAAGAAAACCTGTCATCACAAGGTATACCAGTATACGCACCTCAAAGGTGTTCCTGGAATTTGCCCCACAATCCGTTCTACCCCCGTAGCTCCCCCCCCCCCCCAAAAAAAAAGTGAGAGTGGTGGATTCGTCCAAGGAGCCGGGTCCACCCAGGCTTTCATCCACTTGTCGTGGGTGTCCTTCTTGCAGTACCAGTGCGGCATGGCGGCCGCATGCTGCTTCACCTCCAGCCCGCTCCCCGTGAGGCCCGGGACTAGCACCACGGGCCGGTTCGCCGCCGCGAAGCAGAAGACCCCGCAGAGCGCAAGTCGCTTCGCCATGGCCTTCTACCCTTCGGCGCCTAAAGCGTACGAAAAGGCGCGGCTTTGCAACGTGAGTGGCCTGAGGATGAAATGGGCGCGACGTCGGCGTGCAAGGACAAGGACACCTGGTGAACCAGAACATGTCAGTGATTGTCATCCCGCAAGTCACATGACATTGTGGGTGTCCAGCGAGTATTGCTATGGTTGAGTCCAGCTCTTGTGGGCGGCCAACCAAACAAGGCACTGTGTCCTTTGCCCAGACCTCCAGTGAATTTTGATCAATCGGGAATTCATGTCCACCAATCACTTTGGAGGTGGTTCCCCTTCAAATTCAGAGCCATTGTTGCAAAGGGAACCCCCCCTCCAAGACGAAATAACTTCAGAAAAACGGGGCACCTTATGTTGGTATTGTTCTCTTCAAGCAAACCGAAAAGGCACCAGCCACAGGCCTTGGCTTGGATCACATCGGCTCCTGCCTGTCGTCCACGCTGCGGGAGATATCCATGGCCGCCACGTCTCGGATCACGTCGCTGGGCGGACCGCCCTGCAAGAGTGGCACAAAAGCGCAAAACGTGGAAAGTGGCCATTTTTTGCCGGGGGACCGATGCACGCCATCAAAAAGGGGCCCTTCAATGTTCATATATAAAAATGTGTATATATATATATATATAAATGTGTATATATATATATATGTATGTACATATACATATGTATAATATCAAACTAAAATTGTTCAAATGTGTGTGTCTATATATATATATATACACATCAAACTAGGGTGGCCCCCCTTGATTTTTGAGGGGACTCCCAAGGAGAGCAACCGCGATGGGGTTCCCAATTCAAGACACACCCGTATGTGAATGTTCATTGGTTGGACCCTTTGGCGAGCATGTTTTTGAGGGCGCGCTTTGACCAACGGAATGCAATCTTGGGAACCACGTGAGCCGCTCGCTCCCCGGAAAGGACTCATCGAGGTACCAGGATAGAATCGAAAGCCAAAGCAAGATACGTCACACAAACAGGGTGACCTTTTGGAAAAATAGACCTATGGTTTAAAAAAAAAAAGAAAAAAAGAAAGAAACAACAACACAAACACACACTCACACACACAATCCGAATCTTGTCGAGCAACCCAACCCAAGTTTCCTGATTTCCTGGACAGTCAACCGACGGCGCTCTATTCCAGAAGCAAGGACTTTGGAGGAACATGCCCAAAGCTTGGAGTCCAACTCTCGCCCCAAGGGGTGTTTTCGAGTCTGAGCCGCAACTTGCCGCAGAGCCAAGCAACGAGAATCGGGGAAGCCTCGCAAAACGCGCACCCAGAAAAAACAGAAAGGAGCAGTGAACAGCAACGAAGCCATATAAAATGAACGAGGTTCCACACACACACACACACACACACCTACCTGTCTCCAAGAAACATCAGCCTGCAGTGACGTCAACGATATTCCACTGGGCTGTACCCCGCCTGCCTCACCAACGCCTCGCTCGCTCAGCCCCAGCCACCCTGAAAAAGTCTCGCCTCCATCAACGTCAGCAGCGGGCCCTCGGTGGTGCAGCGGTTCGCGTGCCGCACCCTCCGCACCACCGCCACCTGAAAGTGTGCCGCCGCAGCAAAATCCGGGGACATTGGGAGATGACGGGGATCCACAGACACCCGAAGAAGCGCAACCGAATCCGAATTGGTACGCTCAATGGGCTTGAAACCAAATCAAAGTGCACTGCCTTAGTTGGGGCGCGCTGATCGACTTGCTGCTTTGAGTGCAATTTGTCTGTAATCCGTAGTGGGACGCCACTACCAAACAGAAAAAGGATTGATTTTGGACTACCCAGTCTGACCAACTGGCTCTACTGTAAACAACCAGACGTCGCGCCAGCACTCCCAGAATGGTACGCACAGCACAGCTACAACAGGAAACGTTTGGTTCAACTGCACGCTTGCAAGACCATTTGAAGTCATGCCAGATCATGCCAGATTTAGACATTTGGTTCAGCATGCGAGGATTGTGAACAGGGAAGTCTTGACAATGCTACTTGCCCATATGCAAAGACTCGATCGGCGATTAGCTGCATTATCAAAAAGCGCTGCGCATGGCGGTAAATTTGGCTGATGTAATCGAAACTCCACTGGGGGAAGCACTAAGTCGGCCGCGTGGCTCAAACTACACGGCGCGTTGTTGCTTGATTGAACATTTGGTTTTCTCGAGGCTTCCCTGCTTCACAGAATTTGGTCTCAGGATCCAAGAGTGTGCGTGTCCGTTCGCGGATTCTGGATTGCGGCTTGCCGCATGCAAAAACGCCCCACGCCGAGGGCCCTCTCTTTAACAACCCCACAAAAGGCAACTCAGCTCAAGATCGGCCGCCCCCGGCTGATGTGTGCAACTCACCTGAGTCATAATGAAAATCCGGAATTAACATGCATAGTCTACCCAGAACCATGTTTCCAGAAGAAGGCGTATGTCCGCAGCTATTTGGCCATGGGTCAAAATCCCGTACCCCCAGTGAACATCCCAATCCCCACTTAAATAGACTAAAATGGGTGGTGCACCTACCCCAACATGGCATATGGTTTTGACCCACAGCCATTTATGGCAAGGGGCTTGCCCCGTGCTAACCTTCATCTACCCGGCTCCTTCGAAAGCCCAAGGCCTCCTGGCGCAGCGGAAGACCCCCGAGGAGCACCTTGAAGCACAGCATCTCAGGCAT